AGTTAAAACAAAATACTACATTTATAAATACTTTTTTTTATTTAGAATTAAGTTTAATCTAAGAAAAACTAAATTTTAAAACTGGATACTTTTAATAAATTTTACATTAATTAAACAAACATCACTCTAAATGTTTTGGTTTTTTTCTTTCTGTATACAAAAGCTTGCTTCATAAAAAACTTGAGTGATAAAATAATTAAAGAAACAACTTCTCCCACATCCTGGTGCCTAGAAAAAAACATCTCCTTAACCTTCAGGCAAAAACAAAAAATCAAGAACTTTAAACACAGAGTTATCATATGACCCAATAATTCCATTGCTAGAAATATAAAAGAAAAATGGAGGCATATATCCATAAAAAAGACTCATACGTGAGTATTCACAACAACCTTATTTATAATAACCCAAAATTGGAAGTAATCCAAATGGCCATTAGCAGGTAAACGAATCATTGAACCATGTATAGCCATATAATAGATTCAGCAATAAAAGGAATAAAGTACTGATACATGGATCAGTACAACACAGATGAACCTTGAAACATTGTGCTATATATATGAAAGAAGCCAGACGCAAAAGCCACATATTATATGGTTCTATTTACATGAAATGTTCAGAATACTTATTAATACAGAAAGTAGGTCAGTATTTGCCTGAAGCAGGCAGTATGCATAGAAATGGAGAGTGGCTTAACAGATATGGAGTTTCTTTTTGGGTTGATGAAAATGTCCTGAAATTGATTTTGATTATAATTGCACAGCTCTGTGAATACACCTAAAACCATTGAATTTTACATTTCAAATTGGTGAATTATATAGTATGTGAATTATGTCTCAGTAAAGCTGTTCCAAAAGGAAGAATATATATATGGAGAGAGAGAGAGAGAGAGGAAGAGAGAGGGAAAGCAAGAGAAACATCTACTGATTGTCTCCCATAAGCACCCTGACTGGAGACCAAACCTGCAACCTGGGCATGTGCTCTGACTGGGAATCCAATCAGTAACCTTTTGGTGCACAGGACAATGCTCAACCAACTGAGCCACATAGACCAGGGCAGAGAGGTCCATTACGTATCAAAATATTTTTTGTCCCCATCTTTTTCCTTTGCAGAGTTTATTTACACGTATATTAATTATGCCATTTCAATTGTCCCACAGGTTACCTATGCTCTTCTCATTTTTAAAATATCTTTTTTCTTATGTATGCTGCATTTTGGTTACTTTCTACTGATGTGAGTTTAAGTTTACTTTGGCAATGTCTAATTTGCCATTAATACTACCAATGTATTTTATTTTAAATTGTAATCTTCATCTCTAGAAGTACAATTCGGATCATTTTTATTTCACCCATGTCTCTGCTTAACTTTTTGGACATTTGGGATACAATTATAGTAACTGTTTTAATGTCCTTGTCTGCTAACTCTAAGGTGTGATAGTTTTGTTTTGATTGACTATTTTCTTTTTTTTTATTCTCACCCAAGAACACTTTTCCATTGGTTTTCAGATAGAGTGGGAGGGAGGGAGAGAGAAAGAGAGAAACATTGATATGAGAGAGACACATCGATTAGTTGCCTCCCGCACGACCCCAACCAGGGCCAGGGTTCAAACCACAACTGAAGTATGTGACCTTGACTGGAATTCGAATCCATGACCCTTTGGTCCACCAGGCAACGCTCTAACCATTGAACCAAACCAGCCAGGGCTGATTGTTTTCTTTACTATGGATTGTCTTTTCTTAAATCTGATAAAGTTTGTAGCTATATTATCACTTTGCAAGGAATGCAAAGGTAGAAGAGCATGTTAAATAACATCACTGGATTGCAATCAGCAAAATGCAGAATGTGGGAAACTTTGCAGGACAAGCAATCAATTCCTTCAACATATAAAGTGCAAGGAAAGAAAAGGGTTTAACAGATTTTAAACAAATGCAATGTGAGGAACTTGTTTGGGTCCTGACTTGAAGAAATAAACTATATAACAATTTATTTAAAAATTGAGAAAATTTGAACACTAGATGTTTTAAAATTGTTAATTTTGAAAGCTATTTTAGTGATTTTGTGGTTGTTTTTAAAAATAGACCATATTGTTTAGAGATATATATTTATGGTGAAATAATATGCTGCATGTGATTTGCTTCAAAATAATCCAGGGAGGGAAAGAGAAGGTAAGGTACAGATAGAACAAGTTGGCCATGAGATGATAATTGTTGAAAATGAATAATGAGCGTATAGTTGTTCATTATATTATTCTCTATACTTTTGCAATATTTGATTTTTTTTTTCATAATTAAAAAAAAATCATATTTTCTCTTTTCTGAGAATTTCCCTACTCTCTCCCTACACCTAATAGAATTAGTTGGGCTCGGGACTGCCCTACCATTCAAATAAGTTAAAAATTTATTTATTGTCAAATTTTTCTCCCTAATTTTGCCTAAACTCTTGAGAGCAAAGCTTGTGTCTTTTTTTTTTTTTTTTTTTTTATCCTCACCCGAGGACATTTTTCAATATTTTGTTCAGATAGAGTGGGAGGAAGAGAGAGAGAGAAACATCGACAGGAAAGGGACACATGGAGTTGTTGCCACCCGCACGACCCAACCAGGGCCAGGAACAAAATGCAACCAAGGTACGCGCCCTTAGTGGGAACCGAATCCAGGTCTCTCTGGACAGCGGGTCGACGCTCTAACTGCTGAGCCAAACCAGCCAGGGCAAAGCTTGTGTCTTAATCATTTTTTATTCTTTGTATTTCCACCAACAACCACAGAGCCAAGGTGCTCAATAAATGATACCAAATAGGAACCTCTCTGGTTCCAGTTCACCCAAGTGTTCTTGATAAAGAGGCTGACTCCATTACATTGAATCAAATTTCCAGTTAGGTGTTGTCTTTTATATAAATGTACTCCAAAGGAGCCAAAGGAGTCCTAATGTAAAAACTCAGTCAATAAAACTGTCAAGACAAACCAAGAATCCAGCAGGGACTGGCAAAGTCAGCAGTACTGAAATTGTTTTATAGTTAACTATGTACTAAACATTGCACTGTGACCTTTGCAAAGTCCTTCTGTCCTGCCCCACCTTTCACATGGGGTGGCTCTAAGTCTTATGAACCCCAAGAAGTAATCTATCTGCTAAAGAGGACTCCTGTGGTTAATTGGGCTCAAAATCATAACCAGTCTGGCAGCCATTGCTGACAGAGACCTCTCACGTACACTGTAAATCAGGAAAAAGCCACAGGTTGACAAGCCTCCTGAACTAAGTTACTGCAATGTGACCAAACTTTTAGAAAGGAGTTCCTAAAATCATCTCAAAAAAAGGGCTGAGACCAGCCCAAGTCAATCCTCATTTGCATATTTACTGACCAATCACAGGAGCTCCATAATGGCCAATCAGGACAGTGCTATTTGGACCAATCAAACTACAAAAATCTGGATTCTTTGTTTGCATAAAAATGGACCAATCAGGGACCAGAGCAGGTGCTTTGTCTATAAAAGTTGGCCTCCCCTTTGTCTTGTCTGCCCTTTGTCTCCAGGATTCCACCAGAGGCTGCTTTCCCTGATGTGCAAGCTGTTTACTTTAAATAAAAATAGGATTTCTCCTTTTACTGTACCCTAGATTGGGGGACTCCTGTTGGCATTAGATTGGTGGCAGCAAACTTTTGTTCACAGTCTCAAATAAGATACCATAATGCTGTGAAAGGGCTTTTTAAAAACTGAAAAGCAGTGTAAAGTTTAAAGTATTATGGCCTCTTTCCGAAGCATCTAGGCATCTCACAGAGCTCATCATTTTAGCTATTAGAAGAATTGACCTTGGATGAAATTGTTCAGTAAGCAAACAAAACCTGTTTTGTAGTTATATATACATACATATATTTTTTCCCTTTCACTATAAATACACAAATGGCAACTATTATATGCATGGTGCTGTGCTAGATGCTAGCGACAGAGTGAGGACAGCCCAGGTGCCCGGGACCAATCCTCACAGGTCACCTACTCCTTGACTACTTTTAATTTTTTACATACCTCCATTCCCCCCCCCCCCCAGGTGTTCCTTTCTCATGCTGTTAAACATCCATGATTGATTAACTTGTTATTTACATGATTATGTATTTATTATTTATCTTTTAATTATAAATTGTACAAATACACTCTTTTTTAAAATAAATTAATCTTGGTTGTTGAGAGCATTACAGATGTCCCCCCTTTTTTCCCCATTGCCCCCCTCCACCCAGAGATTCCTATTTCTAGGGAAATTTTCATTGTACAAATGTGTTCTTGGAGAGCACATAATTATGGACAAGTGGTCTTCGAGTTCCTGTGGCAGTTAGGAGGACAATTTTAGGAGGCCCTTCCCGGACTGTGTACTCCCGGCTATTGATGAGATTTTGTTTTAAGTCGGACCATTTTGCATGGCGTTAATTGGAGATTAGTTATAAGAGGATATGTCTCAGAATAATTCACTAAGCTGTGCATTGGTTTTTATGGCTTTCTGTATTTGTGTTATATTTAACAATATAACCGTTCAAAATAAATCTCAACTTGTTCACCACTTCACAATTAAAAGTGGCGCAGGTGCGGTCCACTGGGAGGATCTGGGTGACCCAGAGTATCCAGTCCGTGGCGTGGGCTACCGGTCTTAGCTGCCTACGGCCTCAAAGGAACCATCTAGTATGCTGGAGGAGGGCAAAACAATCAATGACTATAAGATAATAATAATAACAATCACGGTAATAACAAATCCGAGAGACTCGTATCTCCAAATAATAGTTAAGTGCTGCGAAGAACGTCCCCAGGGCGCCGCCAAACGGGACTGCAACCGCAGCGGCTGCTGCGGCTCTCGCGGCGCCCCCGGCGGCCCCCTTCCTGGCTGAGGTTGACGGGGCGGGACGGGGCGGGGCCTAGGGGGGCGGGCGGGGCGGGGCGCCGAGCCCGCGGCCGAGGGTGGGGACAAGGGGAACCGAGGGGCGGGTGGCTGGGCGGGGCGTGGTCGGGCCTCAGCTCCTCACGCGTCGCGCTCGCAACTCCATGTCCCGCGTCGCCGGGAGCCTTGGCCGCAACCGCTGTCCGCGAGCTGAGGCAGCAGCGCCAGGAGGAAGCGTGGGCTTTAAGGTAGGCGCTGGGGCGCCCGGCGCGTGGCCTGGAGCTGAAGCGCCCCTGGCCGGGCCGGAGGGTGGTAGTGAGGCCGGGGGGCGGTACGCGGAGGCCCGGGCGGGCGGGGCCGGAGCCGGGGGGCGGGGACCGGCCTGGCCGGAGGGGTCGGCGCGGCCGTGCTGCACAGGCTGGGCTGGCAGAGCTGCGGCAGTCGGGGTTCGAGGCGGTGCGGGCGCCTCTGCTCGCGCAGCTCGGCCCCAGGCTGTGGCAGCCCGGGAGGTGTGGAAACCGCTGCCCCGGGGACGCCCACGGAGGAGGAAGGCGGGGACGGCCTGCTCCCTCCCACTTGCGGGGCTCCTAGGCCAGTTCGCCCGCGCAGCCCTCAGGAACTTGTTAACCGGAAAGCTTGGCAGAGAAACAAATGCCAACGTTTTGGAAGAACTGAGAGTCACGTCGTTAGGCGCTGAGGCTTTATTTTCCTTCCCCGCCCCCTGCCCAACCTCGGCCCGACTTGGCCAAAGAAGGATGTGTCACTAGCTCGGGGCCTGGGGCGGGATCTCCAGCCCGGCTGGGAGCGGGAGTACCTGAAACAAAGGTAAACGGAGGCCGGGCGGACCCCCGCTCAGCCCTGCAGCCGCCGTCGGGCCGCCCCGGTGGGTCTCGCGCTCTCGTCGACCCTGGCCGCCGCCTCGGAGGCGCTTTCTCCTGGGGGACCTCTCGATGGAAACCAGCTGGCCGGGCTTGTAGTGGATGTTGCATCTGAACTCTGTTGTGCTCACATTATTCTCAATCCTCCGACTCTGGTAAAGCGTAAGGAAATCTTTTCCAGTTTTATTCGTGGTCAGCAACTGTAAGGGAGGATAAATTGCTGTTTGTAAATCGTAAGGTATTTTCTTATTGGGGATGATCTGAAAGCACGGAATAAAAATTCTTAACACGTAAGCAAAACGTGATTTGTTGTGCGGACCAAAACTGAGGAAGTGGTCCTCCTCCTCGAATCATTTCTGAACAAAACAGCCCCCACACCTTTGATGCCAGGCATTTTTCTTTGTTCTTCATTAGTTTCAGGCCTCAGCTTCTTGTAAACAGAGCACCCAATGCTGAGACCCTAGGAATTGCCATACTAGGTCAGAGCAAGTGCATCCAGGGAAGCAGGCAGCAGGCTTGTGTTGTAGTAAAACTGGTTTCTTGGTGATGCCATTAAAAATTATCTCATTTTCATTCCTTTTAGTAGTATCCATGACTGTTAGTGAGAGTCTTTTAAAAATCTACAGACCACTCCTAATTTATACATACAGTGTATTTACATTTATTGTGTCCAAATGGCTCTCCTATCGTCACTGGCAGAGAACTTATAACATGAGATACTTGTGGGAAAAACTTGGGTCTTTTTAATAAATCTGGGAACTCAGAAATTGAGGACAGGGGAAACAAAAGTTCAGTCTTTGAAAAACAGAAAACTTTACCAGGACTAACCTGATTGTTGGGTTCAAAAATAGCTTTATCCATGAACAACCTGAACATAAAGCACTTATTTCTAAGTATTTGCATATTCTAAAATGCAGCTTAACATTCTGGAGTGTGAAGGGGCTATCAGACTTTATCCTAGGATGAATTAATTTGACCTTAATGTTTAGCTGAAACCAGCTGCTCAATGAGAGTGAAAGTTTTGTTTCAGCAAGAAGGGAATAAAGTTGATGAGTAATGTTGGAGTGTGGGGTACTAAAGGGACACCTGTTCACTCCATAACTCTACTTTTAAATTCTTCAGAGGCTCCTCATTACCTCTGGCAGACAACCTCCAGGGCCATAGCCCCAGCCACCTTTCAATATGCAGCTAAAGCTATGTATACTTCCCCTCTGAAATTTCTTGACATCTGCTCCCTCCACACATACCCCTAAAAAACCCACCACCTATAGTATAATTGATTAAACTTTGGGGCATTATTCTCTCTCTAAATTAGAGGTTTTTGTTTGCGGTACTGTTGACATTTGGACCAGATAGTTTTTTGTTGTGGGGGCGTTATCCTGTGCATTGAAGGATGTTTAGCAGCATTCCTTATCTCTGCTTACTGGAAACCAGTATTACCTCCCACCCCGCAACTCCAGTTGTAACAGTCAAACACTCACACAATTGTGACAGTCAAAAGTGCCTCCAGACATTGCCAGGAGACCCCTGGGAGGGCCCAGATTCCCCCCACCAGAGAACCACTGTTCTTTACAGACTGCAACATTAATGCCAGTGACACTGCATTGTCCTCATTTGCTTATGTGTTGATTTTATCTACTGTGCTAAGCTTGAGGGCAGGAGTGTTCTTATTCATTTATTTGACAAATATCTGAGGAAGGACTTACTTCGCCAGCCAGACACTATTTAGGTCTGGGAGTACAGTGATAAAAGCAACTGATGTGGTCTTTGTACTCCTGGACATTACAGTCCACAGAGTGACAGATATATGTATGTATAATGGTATAATTATCTCATTACAATTGTGACAAATTCTAGGAGAAGTACAGGATGCACTGAGTACATACATAAAATAGGGTTCCTGACCTAGTTTGGAAAGTAGGAAATTTTACTTTGGAAATGAACTCTAAGGTGAGTTGGACTCTGAAGGATAAACCGAAGTTATAAGGTGATGCTTAGGGGGACCACATTCCCACAGAAGAAACAACACCTTTCTGGGAACTCAAAAGGCCAGTGTGGCTGAAGCATGGAGAGTGATAGGGGCAGGAATATATAAAATGAAGCTGAGAAATTAAGTGAAGGATATCTCAAGCAGCAGTTCTCAGTTCAGTCTGCTTATTAGAATCAGAAAAGGAACTTAAAACTTTAATACTAGTGCTGGGCCATCCTCCAAGTCCATTAAATCAGAATGTCTGCAGTGGTCCTACTCCCTCCCTAACTGCCATTGTCCCCACACCTTCCAAAGGGATAACCGCTGCTATTAGTTTCCAATAACATAGTGTAACAAACAGCTGGGACTCAGGTGGTAACAGAGGAGATAGAGAGAAGTAGATGGATATAGGAGATACATTTAGGCAGCATATATCTAGACATTTTCTGTGGGCATTCAAACAAATGTATATTCTTTCCTCCCATTGTTTACACAAATGGTAGCATGCTATACACTCTGTTCTGTTCCTTGTTTTGTTTCTGAACAATGTCTTGGAAATCTTTCCATTTCAATATATAGTTTCCTTATTCTTTTGAATGACTGTAGTATTCTGTTGTATGGATATATCACAGGTTACTAACCACTCTTTGATGAACATTTAAATTGTTTCCAATAATTTACTCTAACAAACAGTACTATGCTTTTGCCAGTTCACGTGTATGACTGTATTTGTAAGATAGATTCCTAGAAGTGGAGTTGTTGAGTTAAATGTGTACATACACATAGTTGTAAATATTTGTGTTTGTAAAAGATCATTCTGGTCTTTTGGAGAAAAGGGTTTAGAAGGAAATGAATGAATGTGGGAGACAGCTGACCCTAATTATGGGTACTATGTGCTAGAGAATGAATTGTATTCCCCTAAAATTGATATTTTGAAGCCCTAACCCCCAGTGTGACTGTAGTTGGAGATAGTCTTTAGGAGGTAATTAAAGTTAAATGAAGTCATCAGGATGGGACCCTAATTTGATAAAATTGGTGGTCTTATAAGAAGAGGAAGGAGCACACAGTGAGAAGCCAAGAAGAGAGATCATTAGAAACTGACCCTGCTGGATGCTGATCTGGAAATTCTGTAAGCCACCCAGTCTGGTCTTTTGTTATAGCAGCCTGAGCCAACAAATACACTGTGGGAAAGTAGAGAGAAAAGATGGTAGCTGGGATTATGTTGGTAGCAGAGGAGATGAAGAGAAGTAGATGGATGCAGGAGATGGATACAGGAGATATATTTAGGCATTATTGATAGGATTTGATTATTGATATGGCACAAGCAGTGAGAGGGAGAAATAAGTGTGTAGGATGACTCTGAGTTCTCAGTTGCTCATCCAAGAGAATGATGGAGTTGTTACCAGAGATGAAGAACACTGTAAGGATAAGTAGTGTTAAAGTGGGTTTAATTCACACATTTCACTTTGGGACTGGTGAGACCCTTAAGTGGAAATATATAAGCATCTGATCATTCAAATCCAGAGCTCAGAGGAGAGGGCTGAACTGGGGACACAAGTTTTTAGGTGTATTGAAAGGTGTGGACGGAATTACCAGTGGCAGTGGGTTGCAAACCTGCAACCCACAGCTGAATTTGGCTTATGACTATGTCTTGTTTTTCCAATGCAGTGGTTTCTGTTGTTGTTGTTTAATTTTTAGTTAGTTGCCAATAATTTAAATCTGAAGATTTCCCATGAAAATCCAAATTTAGGATTTTTCTTTAAAAATGAGATGTGGCTCTACTTAGCCGACTTTCCCATATGGCAACAATTGTTTTTGTTTTTGTTAATCCTCACCCGAGGATATTTTTTCCAATGATTTTTAAAAAGAGTAGAAGGGAAAGGGGGAGAGAGAGAAAGAGAGACATCAGTGTAAGAGATACACATCGATTGGTTGTGTCCTGCATGAGCCCCGACCAGGGCCTGGGATGGAACTTGCAACCCAGGTATGTACCCTTGACCTGGAATTGAACCCTCAACCCTTCAGTGCACAGGCTGACACCCTAACCATTGAGCAACACCGGCCAGGGCCATATGGCAACAATTGATTGGAACTAAGTCACAGCTGATCCTGACTGCTTTCTAGTTCACCAAAGAGCCCACCACTCCCTAAAATTTATGCTTGGCCTGCTTTGCTCATTTATTTCTCAGACCCTGAAGGCATTTAAGTGTGTGGTCCCTGCTCTAGGAAAACGAGTACAAAACAGTGACTCTCATCTTGACTGCACATTGGAAACATTGGATGATTAAAAAATACTGATGCTGGGGCCCACCCCAGAAATTTTTATTTCTGTTTACCTGGTTCAAAGTATAGCCTTGGATTTTTAAAAGCTCCGCAGGCTTTTCCACTGAGCAGTGGAAAT